CGGGGCAGAGGGCACTCTTCCCCATCGAGAGCATAGGATCGTGTGGCCCGTGGAGACCCTCTGACCAGTGCCTGCTCCTGACAGCTCCCTTCCGATGCAGGGAACATCCCGGCCCACCGGGAACAGCATGGCACCGTCTGCCCCCACGAGAGGCACACGAAGATGTTTCTCTGGCTGTTGCGAGACAACCGCCCTTTGTCCAAGCGAGGTGGTCCCATTCATGGGGGCGAGGCCACTCTGGGATGAGACCCTCGGGGGCAAGGCCCAGGGCTGCTAGGAGGCTGGCCTCTCTCTCCGGAAGGTGTCTCCCCCTCTCCACCCTGCACCCCCGCAGCCAAGCCCTTGTGCCCCTGTCCTCCGCGCCCATGTGCTCCGACCACCTTGTTCCAGGCCGGGGACCCTGCTGTCCTCTGTGGTTTGTCCACGCCTCCCGACCAGGCTGAGGCCCCACCGTGCACTTGGCGGAGCTGCCGTCCGCCCGGGCTCCCTGCCCCTGCCTGTCAGCGCTGTAGCTGCTGACCCTGAACCAGGCCCTGGGCTCTCCCCCCACCCCCAGCCCCACCCCCTCCTGGCCTCCCTAGCTCCCTCCTCCATCAGTCGGATCAAGTTACCATCCCATCTGTGAGCATGACAGAACCGCGCCTGACAGTCACTTCTTCGGCTGCCGCTCCAGAGGCTTCCTCCAGAGAAGACGTGGGCTGGTTGAGCCCCAGAACGTGTGTTTGGGGCACTGCCTGAGGCCTGGTGTCACTGAGGGAATGCGGGCCACACACTGCCAACCGGTGGGACCGGGCCAGGCTTGTGTTGGTGTGCATGTGTGCGTGTCCGTGGTGCATATGTGACTCCAGCCTGCCTGGCGATGCCACCGCACCACACGGTGTGTTGCCTCGCACCCTCGTGCACTGGGCAGATGGTCCAGACCCTGGGCTGGCATGTGTCTCTTCCGAATCTGTGTTCAGTGGGTCTGCGGCGCTTCCTGGCACTCCGGCCAACCTGGGGTGACGCGCCCCTCCTGGAATGCTCAGCCACACCCCAGGGTCCTTTGCGCCCTGGCCCCCACTCCTGTGACCTGGATGCACCCTGCCGTCATCTCGCCGTCATCTTTCTTGACCGTTGTCCCTAGCAGCGGTTGGGACGCATCAGACCCGGCTCCAAGGTGCCTGCGAGCCCCGCCCTGCTCTGGGGGTTTTGATGTCAGGCTTGGCCTGGTTTCTGGTGAAAGCATTCGATGTGACTCCCTCTCCAGGGCCTGCCCAGCCCCAGGGGCAGCTTTGACTTTGGCTTTTTTCCCAGCACTTGAACTTCAGAATGGCCTTTGACCTTTCCCCAGGAGGCCCCCCTGCAACAGTGGCTCGAGGGGGAGGCGGGGGTTGACCTTCATCCGCACTCCCTGCCCTCGGTGGGCTTCTTGGCGGTGGGCGGGTCTGACCGCCAGGGTCACTCCATGCCCAGCCCCACACAGGCCACCAGACGAGGGAGTCCATGCTGCGGTGGGGCACGTGGCGGTGTGTCTCCTGCCGACGGTGGCCCTGGGTGAGGGTTTCACACCCGAGGGCCCCTGGCGGGTGTCACCAGGACAGGCACCGGTGTCCTCCCTCCTCCAGGCCCAGCCGCCGCAGGCCTGAGCTGGGTTCTCTCAGCAGTCCCCGCATGGGCGCCGTCCCCCCCGGGGAACACACAGGGACGCTCAGGGAGGTCAGCTCGGGCCCAGGAAGAGATGGCCCGTGCCAGCAGTAGAGGGCCAGGCGCGTCCAAGGCCAGTCACCGCAGTGGCAGCTGCCAGAGTCACAGCACCTCCCTCAAGGAAGGAGCCCCCTCCTCAGGCAATGCCGAGGCCGTGTGTGTTTGGCCTTCACTGGGGTTTAGCCCCGGGGGTGGCGTCGGAGGGGGCGGCGTTGACACTCGACTGGCATCTGCTTGTGTGTGTCTGTGTGTGTGTGCGTGCGTGCGTATTAACCCGCGAGGAGACAGGCCCCCACCCTGCAACTCATCCGTACGTGAGACGGCGCGGACTGTGCTTTTCCTGTGACCAAAAGAAGACGACGTTATAAAAAGAGGTCGCGGGGACCTTCTGAGCTTGGACCTGCATCACAAGCCGAGTGCACAGGTGGCCTCGGGAGCACGCACTGGTCGGCCCTGGCTCTGTGACTCGGAACGCGCCCCGCAGACTCCAGGTGCCGCCACCAGCCTCCCCTCTGCCCGTGAGCCGAGCCCATCAGACCGCGGGGTCTGAGCACGCTGGCAGGCCACCCCACGGGGTGACACCGTTCCTGGGAGCCCTGGGCTCATGCCATCGTGGAGCTGTGGAAGGGTCCCACTTCCCTGGGTCGCCTGGCCAGAAGCCAGGGCCGTGGGCCCCCACACCGGCTGGCTTTCTAGCCAGGGGACCCAGGCGGGCCCGGGGTGGGGCCGGCTTTGTCACGGACCACCTAAAGCCTCAGTCATTGGGGCAGCCCAGGCTGGTGGTGTCCATGAACGGCGGGGAGCTTAAAGCGGTCTCAAGAGGAGGGGCCCGTGTTGTGGGAGGACGGGGGGCACACGGGTGGCCGAGGCGGGCGTCCTCACCAGCCTCCCACCGGGCGCGGCTGCCAGTGGTGACTCGGTGGCCCCGTTCACCCTGCCTGCCCCTCCTACCCAGTGGCCAGTTAGAGCTGGGGCCGGTCTCTCGGGACCCAGCCACCCCCCACTTTTCCTTTTAAGTCACTGCTTGCAGGAATGGTTCTTGAGGTGGCTTTCCACTCAAAAGCGTTCAGCTGAGCCTGGGCGTGGGGGCTCACGCCTGTCATCCCGGCACCGTAGGAGACTGAGGCATAAGGATCACTTGAGGCCGGGGGTTCGAGACCAGCCTGGGCAAGGTAGCAAGACCTCATCTCTACTAAAAGAAAAAGAAACGTAGCCGTGCATGGTGGTGCATGTCTGTACTCCCAGCTACTTGGGAGGCTGGGCAGGAGGACTTGAGCCCAGGAGTCTGAGGCTGTGGGAAGCTATGATCAGGCCACTGCAGCCTGGGTGACAGAGAGAGCCTTCGTCTCTAAATAATCGCTTTTAAAAAGCTTTGGGCCAGGTTCCGGGGTAACGGAGACTCCTGTGGCCGGAGAGACCCTGGCTGGCCTGTGTGGGGGGCTGAGGCTTCGGAGAGACCGAGGGTTCTTAGCGCAGCCGGCCAGAACACGTGGTCCCCGCTCCCGCAGTCCCTGGGCCACGGGCTGGGAGTGGGAGCGTGTGGGCTCAGCCCCATCACACGGCTGAGCTGCTTCCAGGCCGCTCACACGCGGCGGATGCGTCACGGCTCAGCGCCCCTCCGCAGGCTCCTACGGGCCCTCCTCTGGCCTCCGCCCCGGGTCTGGGGTCCGTCTCGTGCTCCCGGGGAGGGACAGAATCAGCCGTGTGACCGACTGGGACTCGGGAATGGGCCCTTGGAATGGGCGCCCTGCTCTGTTCTGGGGTGACCTCCGGCGCCGGCCTCCCCCAGGGGCCCGTGGGGGCCCTGCAGCGTGGGAAAGGGTGGGGCGAGCGCGAGGTGCGGCTGAACCCCAGCTGTGTCGGGACTTCTGTGGCCAGGGGTCACGTGGGGCAGCGCTCCCACCAGGGTCCTCGGTGACTTCTGGAAAGGGGAATCTTGTGTCCAGGGGAGTCAGGACGGCCGGGTTCCTCCTACGCACCCCCCAGGACATGGTGGGATTCGGGGAGCCTGGGTTCTACCCAGGACGCCAGACTCTGACAAGGCCTGCAGACCCTGAGCCACAGCGGCCAAGGCTCCCTCTGCACCTTGGCCGGGAGGAGGGTGCCCACGGGTGAACCTCATGTCCAGCTAGGGTGGGACAGGGTGGCGCCTATCCAGCTTCTCATGACCTGGGAAGCGGGGGCGGGCTCAGACCTCTGTCCTGGCTCGGCGGGCTGAGCGTCTCC